GGGAAAGAGAGAGAAAAAAATGTAAAAGAGAGAGCAAAATAAAAGACAATAGGAAATGAAGGTCGACCTTTTGTAGATGGTAAGGGGATTTAGGGATGGGAGGAGAAATAAAAAGGACTTAGGTGCAATATGTGCCAACTAAGATGCCTAGGTACCAGCTCCCCACAATGAACGTATTATATATCACAAAAGTACCAATTTTTAAAAAGGTGAAAAAATACGAAGTCAATGGGTAAGCCTAAACCACAAATTACAAAAATTTCTCAAGTTGTGCCCAAAGGTTTTTTCCTCCCAGCTGTTACAGCCAAGTAGCAGTTTCCATTTAGGGAACACATACAGAAAGATAGTAACTTTAACAACAGAATCACTCAGCAAAAACAAGCTGACTCAATGGAAGGCCCAGAGGAAGAGAGGCCTACCTGAACAGATCTGGCAGACGCCCGCTATGCTCCCACCCCCACTACACACCCATTGTGCGAAGAGGTGGGAAAAGTCCCTCCGTTTAGTTTTATCTTTTTGTATGTATACAGATTACATGTGCTTGATGCATCTCTGTTGTAGATCAAACAACCACATGGTCCTTGTGGCCTATTCACAAGATTAAATGGCAGATCCATGATACCATCAGAGCATACAGACATCTCACACATTCCAATGTGTACTCAGAGGTCCTTCCTTCAACAAGACGGCTGCAGTTTCAATTTTACCATTTTCAAGAATTAAAAATTTAAACAACCAACTTTTCACATTTTGGGAAACCTGAAAAAAAAATTAAGCTAATGTTTTATGAAATTTTGAGTTTACAAGATATAAATTTTCCCATTTAATCCTCCAATTTTCCAAAGGGTTTCTGTGGGCTATATAATTTATCCCAAGTTAATAAATAGCAGCTAATCAGAATGAGGTCTAAAATCTGGGTTGCCATACATAAACCTCCCCTCCCTAAAGATACACTATCTCAGCGAATAAAATAACTTCTATAGGCTCTACAGTATCAGAATTTTGGATTTTTAAAAATGATTTGCTGTAATTTAATTTTGCATAGTCTCAAAAAACTGCTCTGAAAAAAAAAATGTGAACCAAAAAACTGCTTTGCAATTCTTATATTTAGCTCATGGGAATAACAGAAGGCAGCCTACAGATTATGCTGCAGTGGAGCTGGGGAGGATGAGGATGAGATTTACATGTTCCTTTTGTTTTTGGTGAAAGTTCCTGGAGATCAGTTAGTGCCATCTGCTAGCTGGACAAAAAAACCAAGTTCACATGCTAATGAGCTTGTCACTTTCCATTTTTTTTTTCTGTGCTAAGGATTGAATCCGCCTACAATGAACTAAGCATGCACCCTACCACTAAACCACACCCCAGCCCAATCTTACTACATTTGTTGGAAAGCTGTGGTTTCTTAGATTTTAAATAGAGTAAGCTGCAAATCTGTATAGTGAAATTTGTAACCTGAACCAGATTTTCATACATTTGTTTTTTTTGAGACAGGGTCTGGATATGTAGTTCGGGCTTGCCTTGAACTCACTATGTAGTCCAGGCTGGCCTTGAACTTGCAGGTGATCCTCCTGCCTCAGTCTCCCTAGTGCTGGCAATACTGGCATGTGCTACCATGCCTGGCCTGAACCAAATCTCCATTTATTTTTTTTGCAGTCAGTCTATTCACTGGAAAATTTTTTTAACTATGGTACATAAGAGGTACTTTCTCATATCACTAAAAAGCAGGCAATATAATCTGGCAAACATGGCAAATGACTAACTGTAATTCTAGACTACTAGTCTTGCTCAAAAATCAAAAGCCTTTCTTACATTATTGCTAAGCTTAATATCCACCCAGTAATTTTTTTGGTACCCTTTTCCCTTTTACCAATAATAAATAGCAAAAATACGTTCAAAACAACCAGTTACATGGCATTCATAGCATTCTTCCCAACAGTGGTTTTTTTTGAGACAGTTTCACTATGTAGTTCAGCCTGACCTTAAACTCACTATGTAGTCTAGGTTGGGCTTCAACTTGCAGCAGTCCTCCTTTCCACTATTTATGGTGGAAACTACTTAAAAACCAAAAAAATCAACACACCAGGAAGTGAAACAGTTTTATTTCACAGTTGTCTTTAAAACTGCAAAGACACTATTTTCTTCATATAAAAACATTGGTATACCTATACTTTTTAGAAAATGATTATACAGACCCCCTTAAAGAAAACTGCACCTCATTATATGGTTTCAGGGAGGTTGGTTGGAAAAAACATATCTGGACTGATTCCTAAAACATACCAATTCCACACTCTGCATCTTTTGGTTCAAAGTATAGATTACTGTCATCAGTATGTGTTCCTGCATTCTTACATATCTGACGACACACAGAGACTGGTTTACTAATGTTCCATTGGTTCATCAGCTTTTTCTGCAGGTTCATCCGCAGGTTGTGCAGGCTTAAGAGGGAAGAAAAAAGATGTAAAGCGAACACTTGATCAATATATATTCCTAACCACAAATATTATAAAAAATGAATGAGAAAAAAAGGTTGGGAGATATCTTGAAAGACAAATATATAAAAATAAATTTCAGTTCAGAAAACCCAAAACTCATTGAACAATTCCATAATTTTATCATACTTTGTCTTGCTCAAAAATTAAAAGCCTTCCTTACATTATTGCTAAGCTTAATATCCACCCAGTAATTTTTTTGACACCCTTTTCCCTTTTACCAATAATAAATAGCAAAAATACATTCAAACAAACCAGTTACACGGCATTCATAGCATTCTTCCCAACAGTACTTTTTTTTGAGACAGTTTCACTACATAGTTCAGCCTAACCTTGAACTCACAATGTAACCTAGGTTGGGCTTGAATTTGCAGCAGTCCTCCTAAGCCTCCCAAGTGCTGGGCTTGGTGTGTGCAACCAAGTCCGGCTAACAGTACCTTTTTCAAGTTTGTACATCCTAAACATTGAGCCAAAAGACTTAAATTTTACTTACCTAAGATTCACTAATGCACCTGGCTTTTGTTTTTTTTTTTTTTTTAAGACAGGGTCTTGTTCTGTAGTTCAGGCTGGCCTTGAACTTACTATGGAGCCCAGACCAGCCTTGAACTCATGGCAACCCTCCTGCCTTCAGCCTCCCAAGTACTGGGATTACAGGTGTGTGCCACCACACCCAGTTGCTTTTTTTAAAAAAACTACTATTCTTGATACTTCCCCACTCACAAAGAATCAGGGCAGGCCCTGTGACTCCCTTTAACCAAAAGAATGTGCCGAGGTGGTGCTGTGCCAATGGCTGGCAGCTTGCACTTTTGAGCTTTTCTGCAAGCTGAGTCACCACCTTACCTACAGAGGCCCTGTTTCTTAGACTATATACCTAGATAGGTAGGTCTAGACATCTATCAGAGAAAGGACCTAGCCTTCCAGCTGTCCCTCTAAGACATCCAGAGGGTGAAGGCAGAAGACATATATGTGGTCATCTTGGATGTTCCAGCACACTCCACATCTAACTGCAGCACCTGTGAGAACCCAAGTGAGAATGGCAAAAGAACCACTGAGCTGGGCCCACATTAGCCACAGAATTGTGAGAAACAATGTCTGTTGTTTTACACTTCTAAGTAGCTTATTACATAGCAATACACATCCACATCATTAACTCTTCCCTTTTTTGTGTTTATGGAGATCATTGCCCCCTCAATATTTTACTTTATTCAGTTCTTAATTTTTCTATCACCATTTAAGTTATGGGCCCATTTCAATAATTAAAGATAAAAATGGTTTATTTACACAGTTGTGGGAGGAACAGCAGCTTAGGACAGAACTAAAGTCTCTTGTGTTATGATTCATTATATACCTGTGCCTTTCTCTGTGGTCTTTCTTCAAGACCTTCCAGGAATGGAGACACATCATCATCATCATAGATCGTGAATTCCAAGTCTTTACCAACAATTCCAATGGAAACATTCTGAGGGAGGAAATGGTAAAAATAAAAAAAAAATTAAAAAGAGAATTAAGGTCACAAAAGTGTTTATAATAAAATGCTGGACAAAAATCACAACATAAAAATTTATAGAGCACTTGAATTGGAGACTTTAAAAGCTACTTATACGTAGGAAAAAGAGATGGACTAGTAGGCCCTTGTGAGTTACAGATTTAATATTCACTTTTGGTTACCATGAGAAACCCTAAAGAAACATTGTTTAAAAAAAGATTCTCCAGGCTATAAACTCTTCACATTGACATTAAATAATAATTACCCAATGACTATAGCAAAATGGCTTTATAATGCTGACTAATCTCACTTTTATTACGATTATTAGCGTCAACTAGGCCTTAGTGGCTTCTTTCTGGATTATACTATTCCAGTTCTTGTACCCTTCAGTCTCCTTTGCTACTGGACAACTCTCTTTTTGTATCCGCTCTTTCCTGTACCTACAGCTCTAGATTCTCTTCTTTCAAATTACAATGAATGAGTAGTCCAATTTCCGCTGTCAGGCCAACCTTCCCACCAGTGTACTGTTAAAGGATCTGCTTTAAGCAGTTTTTCTCATTATTCTCCTGCATAAGTGCTTTCTTTCAGACTCAGTACTTTTTACAACTATACAGCAAATGTGATATCATTTCTTCCAGCTTAAAAAACCAAAACAAGGAAAACCTTTACTGTATCTTTTCCAACTACCACTCTGTTTCTCTGGATCTGCATTAGAAACACCTCCAAAGAGCTATCTCGAACTTCTCCTCTCCCATTCTCCCCCGATTGCATTCCTATCAGGCTTTTGCTCCAACCATCAGTAAGACTGTCTTGGCAAGTCCTTACAGACATCACTGCTAAACCACCTTTCGTGATCTATTAGTTTCTAATCCTCTGTTCCTTGAAAGTTTCATTTGCTTTTAAGGATGCATCATTTTCTAGTTTTCCTCCTACTTCTCTGGTCATCTTGCTTAGTCTCTTTTTAGTTTTTTAATACAGGTTTCCACTAAGTAGCCCAGGCTAGCTTTGAACTCACTACATAGCCCAGGCTGACCTCAAGCTCTTGGTGCTTCTCCTGCCTCAGCCTCCAGTGTTAGGATCACAGGCACATACTGATCATTCTATCACCATGCTCCACTGATTATCCTATTTTAAGTTCCATCTGCACACTATCTTCTTGAAGGCAATTACTCATTCTTTTCAGTATTAGCCAGTTTTCCTATAGCGTTTATTACCTTCTAATGTACTACATAATTAACTTATGTGTCTATTGTCTATCTCTCCTCACCAGAATATATGTACAATGAAGGCCAAGATCTTTGCTGTGATTATCATATTCTCAATGCCTAGAACATGGCATTGATAAGGACTCAATATATACATATTTGCTAAACACATTAATAATACAAACATATGGATTTCTCCTGGGGGTGGGGATACATTCTATAGCAGACTTACTGGTTTTATTTCTCTATATCAAAAAGAAACATTTAAAAAAGTAACATTTCAAAATCAAATTATTTAGTGAATAGCTTCAAGGGAAGAATAGCTTCAAGGGAAGAAATTTTCAGAATGTGAGTATATACTCTTCTATTACTTACATTTATGCAACAGAAAATTAAACTGTAATATTAATATCCACAACTGGAAAACATGCTATTTACCTTAGTAGTCAGGTCCTGCTCTGCAGGAAGTGTCTCTCTTAAGGCACGCAGACCATGCTTAACCAGTTCATTTAAATTGCCTAGATGTAATAAATTAACAATTATTTTCTTCATTTCAGCAGACTATACTTCTTTTTATGAAGTCTACAGTCTGAAATTGTAGTATTATACATTAAACTTACCACAATAAAAATAGTCAAAAGTTTAAACCTAGTCATATAACCTAACAGCAATCAACACTGATGATTATTATTGAATTATTAAGAAGAAATGTAATTTTTGTTACTAAGTCTGACCTGCTCTTTGGCTAGGTTAAATAAAAATCCTGATTGACAAGTGTCAGTCACACTTTTGTTGAATGTGTCCTACGGAAATGCTAGTCCCTGTATTTGCTTTTTATAAAAAGGGATATCCCACTCATTCAGTATAACTCTGTGTTATAGGTTGTGTCTAAATGTCCCTCCAAAGCCTCATACAGTCTTAGGCATTTCCAGAGGGAGCTGAGTCTAGAGTCTGTGACTGAGTCAAGGTTCAATGCTGGGATTAGGGGTATGAGTGCTACACCCACCCTAGGACAGGTAGTCTGCATACAACATCAGGGATAGAGAGAAGCTTGTTTTCCCTTGCTTGCTTTTGCTGTCTTCTGCTGCCATAAACTGTTTCTCCAGATGCCCCTCTGCCAAGCCACCCTTCCCTTAAGCCAATTATAGACTGAAACCTCTACAAACTCTGAGCCAAATAAACCCTTCCTACATTAACTTGGACACTGAGTATTTGGTCTCAGCAATGAGAAAAGTAACTAAGACACTCTGATACCAAAACCAGATAAAGTTATGGTAGAAAACTACAAACCAATTGCCTTTATGACCACAGACATGAAAAGCCTCAATAAAATACTACAGACTAAACCCAGCAACACAGGAAAAGGATTATACGTCATGATCAAGTGGGTTCTTTTCTCAGGAATGCAAAGTTAGTTTAACATTTGAAATGTCAATCAGTGTAACATTACTATAACTAATAAATGAGTTCAGCAAGGTTGCAGGACACAAGATCAATATATAAAAATCAACTGTATGTCAACATTCTGACAATAAATGATCTGTAAATAAAATTAAGAAAATTGTCTTCATCTTTAACACCAATAAAATACTTATGAATAAATTTAACAAAAACCACAAGGCATGCATAGTGAAAATTATAAGACATTAAAAAAATTAAAGACCTAAGTAAATGGAAAGACATTTGATGTTCAGAGATTAGAAGGCTTGTATAGATGCTTTTTGACTTATGATAGGGTTACACCCTGATAAAACCATTGTAAAGTGAAAATAAGTAAAAAATATATTTAATACTCCTAACCTACCTAATGCCACAGCTTAGTTGTTTAACCTTGTGATTAATCATATGGCCCACTGGGATCTGTTGCTCGCTGCCCTGAATCATGAAATAGTATCTTACCACATACGGCTAGCCCAGGAAAAAGATCAAAATTTAAAATCTAAGTTCATTTTTTACTGAATGCATATTGCTTTCACATCATCATAAAGTCTAAAATTTGTAAGTGGAACTATCCTAAGTTGGGGACCATCTCTGTATTAAAACAGGAGCAATACTTCCAAAATGATCTACAGATTCAATAAAATTCTTACTAATTACTTATCCAGGCTGGAATGTGCTCAAGTGACCAACTGTCAATTAAACTTTGGATACTGAGTTTCCGATGAGCTTCCCTGGGCAGAAATATATGCTCTGCAACCTCTTCTGAGATGGGCAGTGTATAAGGAGGTCTGCACACAGCTGGCTCTTATGCTGCTCTAAATCTAAACTGTGAGTATAAGTGTGTGATGAGTCTTATGAGTCTTCGTTAATTTCCAAATGTGGAGCAATAATGGGAATCCCCAACTAGTTATCATTATTTGAAATACTAACCTTTAATCCGGTATTTCTCAAGGTTACCTGGTTCTAGAACTTGCAATTTTTTTTCATTATTGGGAATTGAATCCAGAGCCTTTGCACTAAACTACTCCCCAGCCCTTTTTTATTTTGAGAGTTCTGCTAAGTTGCTAAACTACACAGGCTGAGCTCAAACTTGTGATCTTCTTGCCTGAGCTTCCCACAGTGCCAGGAACTGTAGGTGTGTAACACTATATCCAGCTAACACTCACTTTCCCCACAGTTAAACCTATTATCATCCTATACACAATTTGCTTTGAGTAATGTTAATGAGAGAATTGTTTTTCTCTGTATTTACTGAGCCTCAAATAGTTCCTCCACAGAATACTGTATTATCACATGAAAACTTGTAAGACAATGTTAAAGCCTTGATCCTAACTCTCTTTCCAATGTGAAGAAAAGCACTTGAAAACCTGACCTACCGTTTTGCAGCGCTTACCTTTCTTTCCATGACTACACTGCCTTCTGTTTGGTATTTGTGGACTATTTAATGAAGAAATGTACATGTGGCTTAAAATTGGAACAGAATCACAGAACAGTAGAAGTTGTACACACAACTTACAAATGGCAATTAGTACAGTTGTCTTCAATTCTATCTGGGACAGTTTAAACCAAATGAACCAAAACTATAAAGGTTGGGGAAACATGTATACTTTTAAAAAGTTCTACTGGTGATTGAAACTACTGTGGTAACCGGAAGGAATAAAAACTAGTATGTGTGCCAGAAACATAAACACTTCCAGGGCTTAATTTTTTAAAAAACTCCTTCTATTATGCTGAGCTTTCATTTAGGATGCTACATTTATTCACTATATAAAGACTGGGGGAGGCAAAATCAAAACCAAACCACACAAAGCCATCACTTACACTCCATAAATTCAGACATATGTCTCTCCAAGTAAGTACGAGCTGATTGAGAACGGGCTCCAATAGACATAGCTCTGCAGTCAAAATAGTTAGCAGATGGACAGGTCTGGAAAATGTGAGGGCCCATATCCTACAAATGGAAATAAGTACACCACATTAATTCTGGACTTCAGTTGAGCTAAAAAAAAAAAAAAAAAAACCACAAAAACATCTTATTGGCTTTTAAAAAATCACTAAAATGTAACAGAAACTTACATCATAACCAGCAATAAGCAGCCCAACACCATATGGTCTCCGGCCATACCGCTGTGTTGGTATCTGGGTCTCTAAATTAGTTAAAGAGCATGCTCTAACAAAGAATAAAGTGTTACCATTATTTTCAAATTAAACATTATTAATAAACATCTCTAGCCTCTTTCTCAATTGTTGCATAATCCACAGGAATAAAAAAATAAAATACAACCGTTCTTTAGCCTAACATTACAACCTGTTTGACTGCATCAATCCTAGAGATGAGCACCAATAAACAAAATCATCTCTTCCATGTAGAACCTCTTTTATTTTGGACAGAAGTGATCCAAGACTCCTTGGGATTTCTAGAACCAAAAAGAAATTTTAAATATCCTTTAATAATGATGCTTGGATTGTTTTGCTAAAACCGGAAGCTAATGAAAGAACAACACAATGCCTTAAACTTTTTACAGTTGTAGCTGTAATATGTATTATCGTTATTTTTAAAAACTAATACACCAATTAAGTACCAAAACCATAAATGCTAACATAAAAAGGATACTGCTTCCAATTAGAGATACAAGACGAGACACAGGAAGTGGCCTGTCAAATACGAATCTGGAATCCAAACACTCCTGTCGCATAAAATTACTAAAAAAGAACAAGAAAAATCACTTATTTAAAATTATAGAGAGCTACTCCTACCTGAGCAAAGCAGTATGATTTCACTTTGCTTCCTTCTAAACATTTTCATGGATTACATCCATATAAGGAGATCAGACAGGTAAGAAAGACAAGGCCACCAGGATGTATTTTTTGTGTTCTGGGACCATATGAGGGTTATTTTGTTTGGTTGGTTCCTTTGGTTGTTTGTCCTGGGGATTGAACTGAGGGCCTTTGTACTGAACTACATCCCCAAACCATTTTTTAAATTTTGAGACAGGATCTCACCAAGTTGCTGAATTGTCCAGGCTGGGCTTGTATTTGTGATTCTCTTATCTCAATCGCTTGCCCACAGTGTAAGGATTACAGGTGTGTACCATTATCCTTAGCACCACATGAGGTTTTCTTGTTGTTTTTTTGAGACAGAGTCTATGTAGTTCAGCTGTAGCCCAGGCTGGCCTTTAATTCACAGTGATCCACCTGCCTCAGCCTCCCAAGTACTGGGATTACAGGTGTGTGCCACCACACTCAGCTCTCCATATGAGGTTTTAAAAATGAATGAATTGACAGGCACACTGGTGCATGCCTGTAATCCCAGCTACTCAGGAGGCTGAGGCAGGAGAATCACAAGTTCAAGGCCAGGATGGATAACTTACAGAGACTATACCTCAAAATAAAAATAGAACTATCTTTTAGCTCTACATCTGTCTCAGAGCACTTACAGAGAAGGAAAACCAAGCAAATAAAAAAGAACACTCTCTCTTATCATTTCTACTGCCAGCAAGTTTGTCTTAATTTTTACATCTTGAACCAGGAAGAGTACCTACTTTCTTTTATTTTTATGTTTTGGTGTTGGGAATTGAACTCATGACCTCACGCTTACCAGGCAGGCACTTATGCCACTGAGCTATATCCCTGGGCCCTATTTTCTTTTATACTGAAAACAGATTAAAATTTCCCCAATAGACCAATTACAAAAAATAGAATCCAAAGCAGAAGATATCTTTGTATGTTCCTGACAATGTTACTTCTCTTCATAAACAGCTTTACAGGAGATATCAGACAATAATTTGCTGTTTTTTAACATTAAACCTGAAAAGATTTGAGCAATGTTAACATTGGGGAAAAGGGAATTCATACCTATTAGAGAATAAACTACAAGAAAAAGATACCCCCCTTTTCTTCCCACGTTACTTTGTCTGATATGTATATATCACAGCTGATGATCTGACCTTTTTTGTGTGTGGTGCTGGGGCTAAACACAGGGCTTTGTGCATGCTAGGCACCTACTATAGAGATACAAACCCAGTACTTGATGATCCAATGCTGACTACAGGAACCAAGCTATCTGTTCATCACTTTCAAGTCAAGTTCAAGAGTATCTACAACTGCAGTGCCCATATGGTAGGCATGAATCACATGTGGCTATTGAGTCATTAAAAAGTATCTAAACTGAAATGCATTGTAAGCACAAAATACACACCATACTTCAATGAGTTAGTACCAAAACCATACACTATATCTCATTCATAAAATTTTTATATTAATTATATGCTGGCATGTCCATATTTTAGGCAATGGGGTTAAATGTTTGACAATATAACACACTGTACATTTTTAGGAGCAGGCAAAAACCCATAATAGCGTGAATATACCATTGATTTAAAAGAGTAAGGGACTGGCCATATAACTGGAAAGTCATGAACAACGGCATTAGAATTTTCTCTTACTGTTCTCTAATCATATCAAGAGCTTAGCTTTTGGCTAACTACCTCTTATCCTAAACACACATTCACATACTACCTGAAAGGCAGTATTAAGTGCTCTGTGTGTGAGGCTATTTAACAATAATCTTCAAAAAGAAAATACAAATTTACTGATTGGGTAATTATCCCAATCTTAGACAATAGGTGGTGAAGTGAGAATTCAACCTGTATGACTTTAAAGATATACTTAATTTATATATTGCTTCTTAACTAGAAATACTTTTTATCTCCTTTGGATGTTTATAGAAATTTACTTGTTACTTTTTTCACTTTCTATCTTGTATTATAGATAAACTAGATTTTACGTTCCTTGAAGACAAAATCTATGTTGGAATCAATTTTCTGTACCCTACCTTATCCACTATTGAGCTTTGCAAAAAATAAATGTCCACTAAATACCGAAGTATTAAAGAAGGGTGGTTTGGCTCATCCTTAACAACAGACAAAAGTGTCAGTATCTTAGGCATACATAGCTTCAAAGAAAATATACTGCCTTAGTAAGTATCACACTATTCAGTAACTTCTGAAAGTGTTAATATTAGTGTGTTTAATTCTGTTATTAGTTACTATCACACGAACCAAGAAATGGAAATGCTAACCCACTAAGGTCAAAAATATTCTGGCAAACAACTTCCTAAAGTATCTGTATCTTCTGTAGAAATGTAATCCAATATGAATGAAAAGGGATGTTGCTTTTGTTTTTCATGAGCATACGTACCATAAGAGTCTAGCATCAGCAGTAAGTCCCGCAATAGAGATACCAATATGGTTGTCAACATGGAGAATTTTTTTCTGGTGAGCTGCAAGCTCTGACTGTGCCCTCTAAATAAAGACATTGTATGATATAAGAATAAGTTTCCAATTTTATTGCTTACACAGCGAAATTTACATTTGTTAGTTCTATCTTCTAAAGGAAGAAGGTATATTTATTGCTTTTCTTACCTTCAATGCAACCAACACTGCATGGGTTTTTGATTTCAGACCAACTGTGGCAGAACCTTGTTTAACAGCTTCCATTGCATATTCAATTTGATGAATCCTGCCCTAAAGACAAAAACATAACACATCTTGGAGTGACCTAGAAGATCCTTTTATAAATTAAAAATTAGATTTCCCAAAGCTTGGGTAAGTATAAATTTCAAATCATACTTTTAAAACCAGGAAACTTATTTTAATTATAAATTTAAGTTCCAGTTGTGTCTAAAATGATAGTATTTTTTTCACAGCCTACCATCTCACAAGTTTCTAAACCTGTTGTAGCTATTCAAAACCACTTCATAGAAATACTAATTTTTACCTGAGGGCTCCAAACAGTGACATCATTATCATACTGGTTACGAAACTGAAAGTAAAAGAAAAAAAGACATTAATATGAACATTACAAATCCCAACTCTTATTATTAAGAAATGTGCTTGCATGTTTCCATTCAAAATTAAAGCCATTCTGTTGAGGCACTCTCACTGGAACAGTGTTACTACACTCAATACTGCAAGGCTAGTCTACACTTACCAAGAGCTGGTGGGGAGGCAGAAGCCGATTAGATGGGTCCTACCTTTGCAACTTCTTACCCTGCCACTCTCCACTGCATTCCTTTTGAGCAAGTAATTGCTAATGCTCACGTGCATTAACTTTTCTTCCTATTTCTGCTTATGCTGTTCTGTTACACCAGGCCCTAATAAGCGGTTAAAAGCCATTCCTTCTCTTTAAATTGGTTCAGATCTCTTGAAGTCTTCTCCATCGTTTCTCCTCAAATTCCAACATACGCTTCCACAGTTCTTTACACATCTTTCTATTCTCACACTATGATTAATGACGTGTCTGATGTATCTTTTAACTCAAACTGTACTTGTACCTTGTGAAAGAGCTTTGTAGCAACAAATATATTGTGTGAATAAAACAAAAAAAGTTCTCAGGAATTTAAGGGTGGATACAAATAGCTACAGCGATAAAACCATTAGTGGTATAATGACATTATTAAAGTAAATCGATCAGTACGTGGCAGAATCACCATGGGGTAAGAAGGTCGAGCCCTGCCTGGAGTGTCAGACTCAGTGGAAGCCGAGAGCCCTAGACAACTAGGCAAAGTGACTGCAAAGAGCCTTTTCTGCTGGTGCGTTAGGATACAGATAAACGAGAAGGGCACACTAGGTAAATGGATGTGAGCCAAACACCAATCATGGTCAAACCCGCACCTACGATGCCGGGAGGCCTCCCAGTTAGGTCTCTAAGTTCTCTTCGGTCCCAAAGATAGCACGAGAGGCCCTTCAAGAACGCTTGGGATGTACTCCAAACTGGATTAAATGACCACGGAACGTGTGCTAGAGGCCCCGCGGAAAGTGAAATAAACCGTGCGCAAAAAGGCCGCACCGACTACCGACTACCGACCGCCGCTGCCCCGGCCAGGCCGGAGATGCTGAATCACGGCCTGAGCCTTCCGTTAAGCTGAGGTTCCCATGCCTCGTGGCCCTGGACCACCCTAAGGATAATCAGAGAGTAAGATCACCATTCCACAGTCCCGGGACCTCGGCCCTAAACCTTCTGAGAAGCAGGATTCAACCCACCATAGTTCGGGCGCGGACCAGGCTACGAGCCTCCTGCAAAGCGGCGAATCGAGGAGAGCTGTCGAAACTTCCGCTCGGCGATCGACCGAGAGGTCTGTGGGATTTTGACGGCGGCGGCGCAGGGTAGGGCAGTCCATTCCAGAGATATCGATAAGGTGTCTGGGTTTGCGGACTCTCAAACCTCCCAGCGCGCCTCGCGGGTGTGGGCGGGGCCTTGGAAAGTACAAAACTGAGATTGGCGGGAAAACCTGGGTTTGGAGCAGCAGCTAAGCAGATCTGCTGTGTATCCTGTTGTATTACCCTTCTTGTAGCCTCAGCGAGATTCCGAGTATTGCAGATTCGCGCCAGTTTCTCATCCCTATGGATAGACGGCCTCGAGACCCCTGCTGCGACACCGGGTGTTCTCCTTGTGCCTCTCAACCTCTCCTTCACTGTCCGCAGAGATTTGGGGAATTGTATAACTGAGAAGAAGTAGGTTACAGAAAAGCAAACAAACAACGGGCCGTTTGTGTGTGTCAGCTATACTCTTCCTTGAGTATCTTATTTGTGTACGTTTGTGTACGTTCGGTTTTGGAATCCTCTTCCTTTTACTGCCTGGACATCTTTTTCAAGACTCTGTTGCCATTGATCATGCATTTTTATTACAATTATTGGTTTCTTCCACCAGACTTTGAACTTCATGAGGGTACTAATGACTTTCTATGCTCTCAGACCCGAGCACAATACCTCAGGAAAGACATGGACATTTTCTAACGAATTACGTATTTTTTTCTTTTTGAGAGCATCCTTTGGTAAGTCCTTAGATGAAATAGTTTAAGACAGCTCTGCGTACAGCTACCAATCTAACATCAACCGATTGCTAATTTTCTTATAGGAAAGGATGATTACGTAGTTTCAGGAAGGTAAGGGTTCTTAAGAATTGCGCTTTGCAAGGAAAGTAGCAGGCTCAAATTACTTAACTGATTTGCTTAAATTCACTGCAAGTTAGTGCCTATTAAAATCTTTTCGTGTATCTATTTTGAACATTTATGCGTGTTAAACGTTTTCCGCCACTCGCATAATACTCTGCATTATGAACATTTTTTACCGAGATCCCTATTGTGTGTATTTTTGTACCCACCCCAACAGTTTATTTATGTACTACTTTACCTTTTTGTACATCCATACCTTTTTAAAGAACAAGTAGCTAAAAATGGAACTGTAAGTTCAAATGAAGTAGATATTGTAAGGTTTTCAATTCCATTTATACTCTCAATAGTACATGAGATTGCCTTAAGTTCACCAACACCGATTATTGTCATTTTTTAAAGGTTCTGTTACTAAAAAAAAAAAACAAAACACTGTTACTTTGGTGAATTAAATTGAGTAAACAGTTTATTTGGTTTGCCAAACATCTAGCATAATGCCTAGCATGTATTATGTGCTTAATAAACGTTGCTGAATGAATGAATGTGAATGTTGGGTGACTGGTTAAATAAATATTTGTTTTGAAATTGTGGCAGGAAGTTCACAAATTTGAGCCTAGCCTGGGCAGTTTAGCGACTTAGCTAGATCCTATCTCAAAAAGTAGAATAAAGGGCCTAGTGAGGTGATGCATGCCTGTAATCCCAGCACTAGGGAGGCTGAAGCAGGAGGATTGCTGTGAGGTTAAAGCCACCCTGGGCTCCATAGTGAGTTCAAGGTCAGCGTGGAGGACATAGCAAGGGCCTGCCTCAAAAAAAAACCCAGTCAATCAATTAATCAAACAATCAGTAGAATAAAAGGGCAGGGTGTAGCTCAGTGGGAAAGCACTGGTTTCAATCCCCAGTACTGTACTACCAAAAAAAATGTCATGTGACATGAACATCTTCACAATTCATGCCCACATTTCTCTCTAGTTCTGTATCACACAAGTGTATGACAAATTTTTATAAATAAACTCATGCTTAAAAGTTATAACTATCTCATCATGCCTGCAAATAATGGTCTGTAGGTTGCATAATAGTCCATTGTCTGGAATTACAATAATTTACTTATTTATAAGCAGTTAGATTATTTTCAAGTTTTTCGTATTATAAAAATACTATACTCTTGTACAAGCATACCTATTGTGTACTTTTCTGATTACCACCTTTTGATGAATTCATGAAAGCACTATCACGAGGTCAAAAGGAAATGCACATTTATAATTATGCTAAATATGATAAGTTGTCTAAAAGTTATATCAGTTTATATTCTATAGTGCTTGATAGTTCAACACTGAATGGTAAAGTACTTTTTACCTTTGTCAAGTTGATAGAAAAAGAAAAAACTCTAATTTTAATTTTTCATCACCAGTAAAATCTTTTCATATATTTATTAGCTTTTTATTATTTTAGTGAATTTCTATTTCCTTTTCTATATTATTGTGTTAGTCATTTTATTATTGACTTGTAGGAGCTCCCTGTTAGTAGGAATGTAATACATTATTGTTACCTTTTTATAGAAGGAACATTTTTTTGTATACAGAAAAAAATCTACTAGAGCTAGCTCAAATAAAAGCTGCAAGAGAAAGGGCCAGAGAGAATATTGTAAATGGCAGAGAATTACAGAAACATCTGAAGATAGGAATTTTTTAGTTAAATTTTACTAAGGCATTCATAGTAACTGGAACAAAGCATGGCATAATATAGTAGGCACTCACTGAAACGTCCATGCATGAATGAATGATGAATCTAGCACTCTAAAACCTATGTTAATAACTAGGGCTATGTGATGTACTCTTCATTCACAGTACAATAACTGACACCTCAGAGCAGTTCTTATCAAAGTTCCACTTGTAGACTAAGAGAAGGGACATTTAATTGGCTTTTTTGTTAAAATTTAAGGCACTTATTAAAGCCACATAAACCAGGCAAGCACTATGATGCTTGTTTCTTTTTTCCTTTTCTTTTTTTCCTTTTTAGATAGGGTCTTGCTGTGTAGTTCAGGCTGACCTTGATCTCACAGGGATCCCTCCTGCTTCAACCTCGCAAATGCCGGAATTATAAGCATGTGCCACCATGCCTGCCTGATACTTGTTTCTTAACCAGGAACTGAAAAATGATCAATAAAGATATTTTGTAGGGGGACTGGATCGGTAGACAGAGCTCTATTTTTTAATCAGTCATTAGTAAACTATATCAAGCATTTAAAGAATCAGATGAAAGTAAATTCTAAAAGCAAAGTTGAAAATTTTTCCCACAGACATGTAAATCCCATTGCTGTTTAGTAACTAACTGATAGGTTGAACAAGTGAGATGTACAGGGTGCATTTTGCAAATAATTATAGTGTTTCTTTCTACATGTGAAAGCACGCCTGGTCCTTGAGTGAGATACGGTAACAAATGTCCTGACATTCAAGTAAAAGAAGTGAACTGGCTCACTTAACACCCTTAATCAGTAACTAACATATTTGATACTAAAATTTTAAGGGAGAAGCTTCTTTTTTTGTTGTTTTTTTTTTCCAGTATCGGGAATCGAACTCACGACCTTGCACTTGCCAGGCAGGCGCTGTGCCGCTGAACTAAACCCCAACCCCTTAAGGGAGAAGCTTCTTATTACCCCCAATTTGAGCCTCCCATGGCAAAGGGGAAATGGTTGATTTCCAGTCTTTGTCCCTGCCTAGGTTTTTCTCCTAACATCCTCTCACCACTACCAGGTAGATTGCCTTACTATTTCCACGTGGAAACAGAGAAGCGTGGAAAGTTCTTAGCTTGGCTGCTACAGTTCTGTGATTGGGAGTTGGAATAGTACTCTTCGGAGCTCGGCAGGAGTTTAAGGCTGACACTGGTTACTTTATGGGTTCTTTGGAAACACCTCCGTTCTAAGCCCAGGGAGAAAATATTGGTAATCTCTGGCTCGCATTTGGGTAATGATGTCTCATCCGGCTGTCAGTTCATTGTTAATTGCCACCATCTGTGAGTAACACGCTACCTTGTATGAAAGTTTCCTCACCATTCCATGTGACATTTCAGTAGCCCGGGTGTGATCCGTAGAATCCAGATGCAAAATTCACCTTTAGAATCAGCCAAAATGTTGCAGATTCCACCAGAATGTTGATTCCACAAAAACGAGTAATTTTTGTCTGTTTTGTCCTCTGCTGTGTTCACCTGTGCTTAGAAAAGTGCTTGCACTTAGTAAGTGTTGTATAAGTAGTGAATAAATGAGTTCCCCAGATACAGGCCAGACACTGACCCACTGACCCCCAAAGCCCCCGTCTCTCAGAGCCATTTATCAAGGTTCCATTAAGCCTTGAAGCCTCTTTCACTGGGCACGAGGTGAGGGAAAGCATTGTCCCTCACAGCTCACCGAAAGGGCTAATCTTCTAAACTCCATCTTCTGACTTAGAAATGGTTGTAAGGCAGAAATCCTGACCTCACTGCGGCCATTTTGTTAAAGCTGCAGTCATTCTGTTCTCTGCCGCTGAACTCAGCTAAATTATATGATTTGTCATCAAACTGAAGCTTCTGTGAATGTGCTAAAAACAACTTGCTACCTATACAACTATGCTCATCACTTTGCTCCTCACAAAATACCCATTGTACCTTGGCCTCCAGCAAAAGCTTATCTCATTCTTGTAACTTCTGTTCACCACCCTATAAATAACACAAGCTCTTGGACTTTGGAGATTATGCTACTGGGATCCACCAGTGTCCATAACATTTCCTTTCTTTTCCTGAGCCCCTGGTTACTGTTGATCCAGTTTTCCCCATAACAGTTAAGAGTTGTAAAAGCAGCCCCGCATTCCCTTATTGAAAATTTCTACTTTTGGTGATTTCCATTTAATGTGGAATGTAGGAATAGCTGACAATTTACTTTCTGGGAACCTCAGCCAAATCTGAAACAGTTCCATTTTAATATCCTACTACACATGTAGTACTTGGTTGCATAATAATTTATTTGCATGTTATCTCATATATTAAATCACAAGTCCCTGGAGTACAAGGATTGTGTCATATTTCCCTAATATGTCGCACAAACTCAATGGAGTTTAGTTCAAAGAGTGAATGAATAAAAGTACTTGAAATCATCATAGCAATAATTCCAAATGCATTACAGAGTACCAAAGAGTGAAGCCCAAAATTGTTGCTAGTATTCTAGCATAATTTTTTAAAATTTGGAAATATTTGTAGCAAAATTGTGGAATTGCTTGGATTTTCATGGCATTATATTAGGTTTTTTTCCTCCGGTACCGGGAATCGAACTCATGACCTTGCACTTGCCAGGCAGGCGCTAAATCCCCAGGCCCTATCTTAGATCTTATCTGTTGGTTCTGTAGATCTGTTTCACTCTGTTGTTGATTGCATCAGCAAAGTCCCTTCCTACTCAGCCAACAGCAGGAGATGAGAAAGCACTGGGAGCTAGGAGTCTATATTTGTCACCCTCCCTTTCTCCATGTCGGTCACAGGGTGGCAGTAGTCCTGCATCAGCTCTTTGCCTTCCCAGACCCTGCTCCTACTCTCCATTTGAACGGACTATTTCTTGCTTGGACCATGTCTGTTTCAAATTTTCGC